CTCTCTAGAGATTGTTTCTTGTATAAATCAAGTTTAAAGCTGGTGACTCCGGACCCCTGACTCAGAGACATGCCATAGCAGCATCGCAAGAAAATTGGTAAAAATGATCATGCTCAATTGCTTCACTTCCCATGCTCTGCAATGCAATCAAGAACTTGCTGCATCTTCTCCACATTCTTGCCATCTTTTGCCTGCAGAGATTTGCAGGCCGTGTAATTCTCGATTGCATGGCCTTCGTGCATGATGAAGGATTTCCGGGCTCCGTAATTCATGGTGGATGCACCGCTCCGCTCCATCAGCAAGTAACCCATGGGCACAAACAGGACCTGGTCCTTCTCCAGCTTGTGATAGTAGGGCTTGACCCCCATCGCTTTCCACACGGCTCCGTCCAAGTGAAAGATCATCTGCCGTGGCGGGGAAAGCAGTTGAAAAGTGACTAGGACACAAGTTGACAGCCAAGGTTTAGGGAGTTTAGGAGTTTAGGGGTTCGGTTTAAGGATTACATATGGGTTGGGTGGAATTGGGTTTGGACCTACTGGCCTCCTCCAACTCTGAGGTGGACTTTGGGGCTGCGGTTCCCGCTGCCGTCACGCCTTTCATGAAGTCGACCATGCTCATGCAGTAAACCTCCACATCGCCATACGACAGGACTCTGAGGAAGGCTGCAGAGTTCGGGCACAAGCCGATGAAGGATGTCTTCGGCGCGAGCCCCATCATCCAGGAGGTGCTCATCCACTGAGGGGCCACCGCTTCCGCGTCGACGATCTTGCCCTTCACATTAAGCATGATGTCCGCGAAGAGCTTCTCGGTCGGCTCTTTGCCAGCTTTTGCAACAAAAGGCGTGCTCAGCTTGTGGAGGTCGTCAAAGCCAGGAGACTTCTTGTACCGGGCACCAAAGTTCGTCAAGGTCTGCAACACAACAGCAGAGCCCGCCCATGTCGTGACATGTGAGGACTTCTTGAGAACACAAGGCAGGCCGATGTCGTGGTCAGACGGGATGGTGTTCCCGTCCAATGCCTTGATGGCCTGGACATCGCCCTCGGCCAACTTGAAGATAGCCGGCATACCGGATCCATCCGCTGTAGCCTGTTTCAACCTCGCTTTGGATAGCTCAAGATGCTTCGCCTCAGCTTCTTTGGCTTCCTTCTCCTTTCGCTTCTTCTCGTTCCTCTCAGTAGCTGCTGCCAAACCTGCCACATGCTTGTTGACATCTGCTGTGCACTTTTTCAGAGAAGTCTCGAGCTGAGTGGCAGCAGTGATCATCCGCCTCCATTGAACGCGAGTTCGATCAAGGCGGGTCTCATCCAGCTCACACTCCGGGACGAGATTCACAAAGCTCTGCATGAACTCCTTCGAGCGAAGGAAGTCTTTCCGCTCGATGTTCACGGACTGCCCTGCTGTGCTCAACGCCCAAGCAAGTGCGGGCCCTTGCTGCTGAAGGGTGTCCTTGCAAGTCATATCGATCACGGCGTCGGGCTTCTGCTGCTCCTCCATGGACTTGTTGTGCTTCTCCACCTCGTCCTTGATGGAGGTGGCATCGTTCCACGCCTTGGCCAACAACAAGCTCTGCTGCAAAGTTTGGTTGTAAAGCGATCGCGTGGTGATATCCGTGGATGTGCTTGGAACTGGTGCCGCCTTCTCCTTGGCCTGGGCTTGCACAGCATCCTCGATTTTGGCCACAATCGACGCGACTTTGCCTCCCAACTGCTTCGACAAGGAGTCGAACAAAGAAGCACGCTGGCTTGCAAGGTTACCGGACTTCTTCTTCTTCTGCTTGGCCGCATTCTTGGGATCCGTTTCACCCTCATCCTCGCTGGCATCCAAAGTCAAAGCTGACGCCTTTCGTTTCAACTCGGACGCCTCGGGCTTGCTCGGTGAAAGCTGTTGGACGTTTGAGTTGATGTCGCTGCCGGTGGCAGCTTCAAGCTCAAGGTCTACATCACCCATGGATGCTTCACGATTGCAAGCGCCGAAGAAGTCGTGAGTAAGATCCAGGCCAGCTTCCCCAGCATGAGCACGAAACGCAGCCAAGTCCCCCGCCTTGGGGGCCTTCTTCCCCCTGGAAACCTCATGGCTCGCTCCCTTGGCAAACCTCGATGTTGAAGCTGCTTCGTACTCCCTGGATGGCAGCCAGAGGCGCATAGCACCCTTCCAGCCGTTGTTGTCACGCCTCCACGGGCCCGCGACTTTCTGTTTCCATTCACTGTACATCTCCTGCTTGTTTCTCCCATACTTGTTCACCTGCTCGAGCACCCACTGCTCTTCTTCATAAGGCTCTGTCTCCGCGATATCCGATTTTTGCACGAGGACCCCGAATTCTTGTTCCCATTGGGCGAAGTCAATGAGTGGCTGGTGGGCGAACATCGGGAGGGCGATGCTCCGTTTTGCCATGTATTCAACCTGCTTGTTGGCGAAATCAATGTCCTTGCACTTCTCAACGAAAGCCTTTGCAGCCTGCTCGCCCTTCTGCTTCGCAACCTGGTTGCGAGCATTGTCAAGGTGCCGATTGTGATGGCTGCAATGACGCCTGCCTTGCTTGCAGTCTTCGTCACATGCCCAGAAGGCACAAAGCTTGATTTTCGGCTCGCCTGCCGCAGACGAGGATGCACGGCTGCTGCGAGCATTACTGGTCCTCTTGCTGGAAGCAGTTCGGACAGATCCTTCCCCAGGAGGAGCAGAAGGGATCTGGAATTCATCATCACTCATGATGCTGCAAGGACGCACTGCCCTGCACAGCTCCGAAATCGCAAAAGAGCAAATTGATCTGAGCACGAACACATACAAACACACAACATAAACACATACTCGCTGCAATCTCTCACGGCTTTGACCCTAGTCGACAAGCTTGCTATGCATCGCACGAGCACATGGCCTGCACCGGTACAACACAGACTCACCGGACAAAGCTTCGGCCGGTTGGTTTCGAAATACTCAAAGGATCCATCGCCTCACCGAGCAACATCCGAGCCAACCCACGCACTTTTGATT